TTCATAACTTGAGATGGACTTAGACTCGGATTTCAGTTGTTGGTTCAGTTCAGTAGTTTTGAGTGTGTTGGCGATTGATTCATTTTCATTTCAGGAAGCGTATACACCCGAACGAATCAGTGCGTTGTATGAACGTATCTGTTGTAAATTCCCAAAGAATGAACAATATCGAACGCATTTGTTTATGAGTTATGTGAGAACCAGAAACTATAAATTACAACAGAAGACAGCGTTGGCGTTGTTCAAAGAGTTTCAGCGTAATCCATATTATTTCTGGAATGTAATGAGTATTGTGATGCAGGCAGGTTATTGTTATTATTATTATTATTATTATTATTGTTATTGTTTGTTTGTTGATTTGGTGGTGGCGGTGTGAACAGCGATTGGTGTGAATTTTATTCATCTCATCAGTGGTTTTCAGGCGATTTGTGGTGATGAGAAATTGGCGAAAACGATGCTGTATCCGTTGGCTGAGAAGATGGTTGTGAAAATGATGCAGTCGAATTCGATACAGGCCGAGGCTGGTTGGTTGGGTTTTGTGAAATGAATTTCGTTTGTGAGATTTTGTTAGCGATAGTGATGATTTGTTTCAGAATGTAATTTGTATGTGCTGATTCTGGAGAGGGAAGGAAAGTACGAAGAGGCAGCGCGATTTCTTGAATGTAATCAGTTTGTTTGTTTTTGTTTTTTAATGAGCTTTCTGTTTNNNTACGACGTTTTGTGCAGCAACCGGATCATTTTCTATTCTATCGAATTTTGTCGTTGCATCAAAAAGCCGAGAATCATTTGCTTGTAGTGGAAAAGTGCATCTCGGAACTGAAAAATGAGTTGGTTTTTTTGGAATTGTACTGAGAATTTGCATTTTGTTTCGTTTGTTGGAAGGCATTTTTGAAGCGATCACATTTGTGGTCAAATTTTGTTGTTCGGTTGGTTTGATGCTGTTTAATGTTCAAAAATTTTCAGACCGGACGATTGGAATCTATGGAAATATTTATTCGAGTCGGCTTTTGCGCATATGAGCCAAGAGTTGTGCACGGATGAGGAGAAAAATAAGTGAGTTGTTGGATGAATTGAATTGTGAATTTTGGATAGATAGCCA